CAGTACATCCACGAGTCCTCCTCGGGCGGCGTTGCCGCCATGGCGGTGCGGTCGAGCTGCGACGCTGTCGCGGCGAGGCCGGCACCTTGGGTGCATCACCTATTCAACAAAAATTGCCGCAAAGCGATTATGCGAGCATAAACCACGCTGGAGCAATGATGCGCAGCAGCGCCGCAGTGCAGGACTGCCTCGCCGTCGCCGCCGCCGGCGCGTTGATCGGCTTCTACCTGGGCTACCGCCGGCGCGCGCGGCGCGACGCCGCGGACGCCAGCGAACAAGAGCAACAACCGGACTACGGCGACCCCGACGCCTGGTACGTGCACTACATCCTCAAGGACGGCGACCGCTGGGCGCCGCCGACCTACGTCGACGAGCAGGACCGCGCGGCGGCCGACGCCTTCTTCGTCCACGGCACGACGGCGCTGCGGGGGCTCGGCAACGCGTCCGTCGAAGAAGGCGAGGGCGCGGCGTACGCGGCGTGGAAGATCGCGCGCCAGACGAGCTGCTTCACGCACCGCTGCCGCGTCTTCGCGCCCAAGTACCGCCAGGCGCGCGTGGCCAACTACCACTGCTTCGAGGGCCACGCGGCGCCCGACGGGCCGAGGCTCCCCGGCTACCAGGGCCGGCTCTTCTCGGAGCCGTGCGGCGAGGCGGCCTTCGACGTCGCCTTCGCCGACGTCGCCGCGGCCCTCGAGCTCTTCCTGACGAAGCACCGGCGGCCCGGCCGGCCCTGGATCCTGGCGGGCCACAGCCAGGGCGCGGGGCACGTCACGCGCTGGCTGAACGAGCGGAGCGCGCGGTTCCCGGCGGAGATGGCGGACCTGGTCGTCGCGCTGCCCCTGGGCATCCAGCACGGGGCCGACAGCCTGCCGCCGGGCCTGCGCTTCGCCGGCGGCCCCCGCGACTTCGGCGTCGTCCTCGTCTGGAATTCCGTCTCGGAGGGCCGCGCGGACACGTACGCCGCGGGCCGAAAACGCTTCGGCTACGTGGCGAACGCGGCCGTGACGAGGTTGGCGCCCTTCTCCATGAACCCGCTGACGCTCTGCGGCGGCCGCCAGGGCGGCCTCGGCGTCGACGGCAACGTCCGCGCGGCGTGCGTGAAGTCCGCGGCCGTCGAGGGCGG